CAACTCGCCAAAAGTCGTGATCGAAAATCTTGCTCAAAATTTTGAAGGGACCTGGAATGCATGTGACCGCTACTCGAGATTCCAGCGTCTGCGGGAGACCAATGTAAAATTCTATATCTAAATAAATACTATTTCAGATCAATCTTTGCCATTTTAGAAAGTAGACAAGTAATTCTTTTTAATTTTTTCTTTAATTCTTTTAACCGTGGCTGAATCTTCAAAAAAATAAACTACGGTATTCCAAGTAGCATGAATTAAAAAGCATATAACTTTTGCAAAACTGGATTTAGAAACCTATTGCATGCTCAGCATAGAATCATTTGAGTTTCATTAATTTGAACATGTAAAATGCTAGACGTGTCTCATAACGTGGGCACTGAGTGTTTCGGCTTGATGTACTGCTCCTCCCAAAATCTTGTTTTCGAGCAGGTGTACGTTGATCAGCTTATTTATAGCAAATCTTACCTCTGCAGACGTATAAACCTGAGAAGGTTAATATTCTATCCATTATGAAAACCCTGATAGGAAGTGTATATAGTAAAGAAAGGCCAGTCATGTTTTCTGAAAAATAGATGAACATTTTTTGTTTGCTTGATTAACTAGAATGCTTTTTTTATCACTGAATAGTAAATTAATCGTGCAAAACTAATGCTTCTTTCTTTCCGGTCTGTTTTATGAAGCCAAAATCTGAAGATCAACTATCGCGTTTCGTTGAGGGAAGTGGTCTTACATAATGAAATATGCAATTGCTTAACATTACTATTACAGAAGGAACAGTATTAAACGATGATCAAGTTAAGTCGTGGTTGCGAAGCTTTTTTCGTCCTTTAAACAATCCTGTAGGCAGCGAGTTTTGGCACACTTTTGCTCACTCACGAGAATAGTACTCATTGCACATAACAAGCATAAATATAACAGAAATATCAGCCTCTCTTAATGAGTGTATATGCATGAAGACTGAGCGTTTTGTACTAATCCGCTTATATCCTAAATATTCTTTCCCTTGAGAATCTTAAAAATTTGATTGCGTACAACGCATTACGCTTTTGAACTATGATCTTCAATTTTTCAAGTTTTTTGAAAATGGCCTCACGTATATTTATCCGTGTCCCCAAAAATCTTCCCGTATTTGTAGTAAATATTTATACCCGGAATTGTTAAGTACTTATGGAGTAATTGAGAGGTAGAATATATGAATAAAAGTTCGTTCATGTTTGCCCGTTTAAGAAAACTGCCGATTTGAGCACGAAGCTATTAGCAGAGCTAGTTTATTAGAAATAAAATCTATTTTAAATTACATTCTTTAAGTCCTATGACAACGAAACCAGAAAACTCGGACTTACCATGAGGCTTCGCTATTTCCTCGCTGAAGAATCTGCCAATTCCACGGTGTTGCGGATCTACTCTTCTGACGATTTGGTCCATCAACCAACCGAAAGTGAATGCATGATAAATACGCCTTTGCCCAGGAGGAGAGTAAGGCTTTTGCTTTTCAAGAATCTTACTGAGCGCTTTCCAATCCCTTGCTATTTCTAGCGTGACTTCTTCGTCCAAAGCTGCCAATCCGGCCTAAATTTGTACAGAAAATCGAAACTTCGAGTCCTATTGTGGTCTGGGAATGAAAAACGTTAAACGTGAGGATATTCGACGAAAGAGCGCATGAGCTAAGGACAGCTCAGAGGTAAGTTGGGATTTAACTTTCAAACTTTCATGCCAGAAGTCAGACACTACCCTATCGCTAAGTAACTAAACTGATATAAACTGGTCCCTTTTAGCTTTTGATACCGGATTGAAGCGGCCTGCTCAAATGGGCCTCCTCGGCTGCTAGAAGCAAGGGGCCGGTGCTTACGCCGCTTTAATCCTGTATCAAAAACTAAAAGGATTACATATCCTAGCGGCGGTATCAAAAACTGGTAGTATGATAGTAAGCCCATATGATCGGGTTTAATTTTTCTGTATTAATAAGAACTAGATTCCTACAATATCGTGGGGCAGCCATCAACGTATGCCCAGACGCTACTAATTCTTCTTTATCCTGCGTCCTTCCATCCATCTGGCAAAGAAAAATGACCGATTCACAAAATCCTCGTTCGACATTATTATTGCAATCTTTGACAATACCTTATGACTGAGTATCATTTGCACCGTAATGTTTATTTTTCCATTGGAACCAAATTCAGGCCAATGCTTGATCACCAGGTCGTCGTAGTCCATTAACTTCCTGTCCACTAGCAACGCAATGCACAGTGCAATGACTGCCTAAACAATATGCCTTTTGAAAATTGTGTACAAAATAGATTTCTTACTTTGGTGGTGGAAAACCACATTCCCATTGTGTCCTTCTCCCATTTTTTCAAACTGTCAAAATCTGCGTATCCTCCCCAAATATCCACGACCAGCTCGCCGTCTCTGTAGAGGGCAAAAGCGGCACCGTCGGTTTCAAGACCATTCCAAAAATTTTCCCTGTAATGCTTCAACCATTAGCTGGTACCCAACTTTGCTTGCAATTAACTTGAAAACTTCGTAAACTGGTTGGTAGTCAGCATCGGCTGTACCACTGAACTCGAATACTTTTTCCTGACAAGGGAAAAAGCATAAGTTTGCGATATAGGCGATGACCACTACGAGCAATGCTTGTTTCCAACATGCCATTGCCATTCCTGTAGAAATTAATTTCGGTCATTAAAACGAATACAACTGAAAAGACATTCAATCACCAATTCACATAACAGATTACACATACGATAGAGTCTGTTCCTATTGGTCCAAAGGGACTATCCAGTCTGAAATAAAACGCATTGCCTTGTCAGTTTTTTCCAAGCTAACCTTAAAAGAACCATCACGATGAGAAGCTACTTGAGCGAAAATTTCCTCCAGTGTAAAATTATGAGATGAAGGCATTTGCTTGCTTTTATCTGCAACATACGGAGTAGTTAGCATATTTCGTCGACTGACAATGGTCAGCTGTAATGGAATAGAGTTAGGTTCTGCATTATTAATTGTTTTGACATGGTTTTGAATTTTTATTTCATTTTGATGAGGAAGTTTTTCTCAGTGGTAAAGCAACTTGCTATCAACACCGAACAAAATTTAATACATAATTTAAGACATGGGTTATTGTGATTGCACGCTTTGTACAGCGATACATTTCTGATCCTCCGGATTTCCCGGCATCCTAGATAGGGAAGATATGGTCAGCCTAAGGTAAATGTCAATGCGCCATTAAATGGCGTTGGTTGTACTCCTGGCCCTTGCATGCAAATAGACTTTTCGCTTGAACTTCACGAGTAAGGATCAGCTGTCATCCGTCAGCAATGACTCACAAAATTTCCTCGCTGCACATACCGTAGACGACGCTACTCGGTCAACGATTTCCTCCATGTTGATCTTACTGATATGAAAAATAATCATGACGGTTCGACGCAGTATGCGAAAATCTTTTCGCTACAAACCAGCAGAAATCACTGGACCAATATAGGTATTCATCGATACTAAGCAGTCAGTGTGTCTCCCTTTACGATGTACAATAACCAGGTGTAATGACTAGTATTAAATCACTCTATGACATTACTGGCGTAAACCGACTCAGTTGGTTTTGAACAAACCTTCCTAATCTGCCTACTTTAGATACTTCAATAAGAGGTGCATGCGCGTACTTAAATAAGATACATTC